AGGTTTCAAGCAGAGTTCTAAGCTTGTGAGACACCAGAGAACTCACACAGGAGAAAAACCATATCAGTGCCCGGATTGTGGGAAATGTTTCAGTCAGAGTTCCTGCCTGGTGAAACACAAGAGGACTCACACTGGGGAGAAACCCTTTGCATGTCCTGTTTGTGGGAAAAGTTTCAGTCGAAATTACATCCTCGTGGAACACCAGACGACACACGCAGGAGAGAAACCGTATAAATGTCCTGTTTGTGGGAAAAGTTTCCAGCAGAATTCTAAGCTTGTGATACACCAGAGGATTCACACGGGGGAGAAACCATATGAGTGTCCAGATTGTGGGAAAGATTTCAGTGTCAGGTCTAGCCTTATAAATCATGTAAGGTTACACACAGGGGAGAAACCATTCAAGTGTTCAGATTGTGGGAAGTGTTTTGCACAAAATTCCTCTCTTATCGTACACAAGAAAGTACATCTGAAGCAAAATTTGGTGTGTGTAGAGGAATCTTGAATTTCATTTCTCTTCAGTCTTTGGAAGCCCAGTTGAGAAATTAACCATTTAGTTTCTAGTTTTATTATTTTTAGTCAAACATATTTTGGTACCAAACATGATGGAGGAGATCTGAGCTTCCTTTCTGTTGAGTTGTTTGGTTGTTCCTTTTCACAGTGTCCGGAGGAATTGTTATGCTGGGCCAGAGAAAAGGTGCTTAGATCTCTGTTAGGTATATTTGCCACTTTTGAGTTATTTCTACATCTAATTAAGGTGGGATATAGATGTGTATGTATGTGTGTATGTGTTTTTATTAAGAAATTGTGTATGGCAACCCAATGCAATGTGACTTCAGAGAGCTTACAGCAATAAAATAGAGAAAGCAATCAACATATATAGCAAATAGCAAAATTCAAAGCCTTGACATTTGGCATACTCCCACACCATTGGATTCCCCACCAGACTGAGAAGGGCCCAGGTGTCTTTCCTCCTACACAGCCCTTCCTCTTGATGGCAAACTCAGAGGTGCAAGCAGAGGGTGAGTTGTGGTCCTAAGCTGCCAGCCTTTCCTTGGCCTCTTCAGCTGCAATTAGAAAAGATCTGAATCTGCAGTAATGCCTTGAACGCCTCTGCCAGGAAATCCTCTCATGATTTTATTATGCATAGAAAACTGCTGTTGAAGGTATAAAGTCTGCCAGGGTGCCAACTCACCCAAAAGGGGGAAATTACACTTCCAGCTCTCTCTTGAGCCTGGAAAAGAATATCAGTGGTTCTCGGGTTGCAACAGCAATTACTGCTAGTGTTGTCAACCCTGAAACATTTTGGAAATGGGTTTTTTTTGTAATTTTTTTCTATTTTGTTAAAAAAACAATATTTCATGAACAATGTATGTGGTATGACAATGAGTATCATTTTGATACAAAAGCAATAATACCCAAAAATCACTAGTCCAGCTTATGTGGTCTAATGCTGTTATACATAACTGTATCAGCACTTAGTCCTTCAGTTTTCAATTACTAATATTTGCTACATTCTTTTAATAGTAATAACTATTCTTTTTGAGCATACCGAGTAACGTCCTTTTTCAAATTCTGATCCTAACCTTAATATTCACTTTACATATATTCAAATAAAAGTATGTACAACAATATTTCCTCATTTCTAAATTTTATATCCTAATTTTTAATGCAGCCAATCTTAAAGATTGCTACATTAATCTAATGTTATACATAACTATGTCAAGTCATAATTCTTCATTTTTCCATTATTCAATATTTGCTACCTCCTAATAGTAATAACATTGTTTTTGAACATACCAAATAACATCCTTTTTCAAACTCTTAGTTTCAATTTCTGATATTCATTTGAAATATTGTGTTAGATAACAAATGTATATTTGTTAAGTTCTTGGGATTTAAGAACCAACCAGCAGTGAAGCTGATGCAATATAGGATGATGCAATAAGAATGAATCAGCATAGCATAGGAATTTCCCTTTAAGACAGGATTAAAGATCCCTTTAAGAGGCGTTTATATATTGCAACCATTAGAGGGTGTGGTTCTTTCTCTTTGTGTCCTGTATTCATTTCCAAAAGTTCTCCGAGCAGAGTTAAGAAGTTTGCTTACTTGTAAAAGTATTTTGCCTACCACGTATATTTCTATACATAACTGTAGATAAACCACCACTGTTAAATGTTTATGTCTCTGTATGCTGTGTTTTGCTCCCGAGTTGTCTCATAATGGTAACCATGCTGCAAACGCTCTGACAATATTCCCCTTATTTCTACAGTTTATTCTAGTTTTAGGCTGATCTCATTAAAACAAAAAAATCCTTCCTATGCATCGTCTCTCATTCTCTTGGAAGTTACATTTCTTCTCTTTTTAGCTTGCCTCCCATACTCCTCCCTTGGGTCTTTATATCTTACATATTCAACCAAAGCTTTATTTCTGTCCACAATATTTTTTGCTGCCAGTCCACCCATAGGCCTGCCAAATCCTCTTATCTTTTTTCCGAAGGTATCTTTCGGTATATTCAATTCCATTTTTCTGTCTCCTTGTATATATTCTCCCAACTTTATTTCACCCAACTTTATAATCTCCTACTCCAACTTTATAATCTTGTTCTGTTTGCTGTGTCTTCTGTTCTGTCTCATCCTCTTGAGTTTGTCTCCCTTGTTTCCTGGGTTTTATTATCTTGCTGTCAGGGTTCCAGAAATTATCCGTTCCATCATTAACTCTGAGACAACATAATCTCAAAGTGCTTTACTAAAACAGAAACTTGGTACGTCTATGGAATTCCGAAACTAAAGTTTCCTCCCAGACTTCCCACAAGACTCAACCTATACCCACCCCTTTCTTTCACATCATAAATCACGTGAACCAATCACCCTTCAGCTACAATTCTTGCTGGGCCATAGAGAATGACCTTGAAGGTTTTATATATCTATTTTGTCGACTGAAAGCTAATCAAACAACATCACACACACACCCCCGCTTCCATCCTCCGCAGCTGTGTGGCAGCTTTTAATAAGGATTCCAAAGCTGACACTTGCTTCATTGGTCCTTGTTGCACATTTTCAGTCTTTCCAGTTATATCGTGCAACAAGTCCTTTCTCTTTAATATTCACCATCATCGTATCATAAATATTTTGCAGTAGCCTTATAATTTCTTTTTGTGCCTCCAGTGCTTCCTAAGGAGCCATCTTGCCTTATTTTAAAAAATCCCAAGTTGTATTCAGTGTTCTGTCAATAATCTAACACTGCTGTATTGTTTTTGACTTCTCAAAGCCAGCAGATTACTTGGTCTTAATATGGTTCATCAGGAGATGCCATAATTAGAATTCTTTCTATTCCACAATTAGTCAACAAGTTTCATTTATACCATCCAGGGAGTTTTCCAAGTAGTTCTTTAAATCTACTTTTTCATTTATTCAATAGTTCCAGTATTCAAAAGTCATTCCAGTAGATATCCTCCAGGTTTTTCAAGGTTGGCCTCTAGTCATCATAGGGTAGATAAGTATGGAACAGTAAATAATAAAGCAAAACAGACCTCCAGATGTTATTTCCCCTTATCAAAAGCTATCCAGGGCCACTTTCACCAGTAGATGGCGCCTTCAGCTTAAAAATCAAATGTCCGCTTTCAAAAAGTGACATTAAAAATCCAGTTTAAGTTTCTTTCTCATTAGTTCAGACAAGATATCCATTAAACAGTCAAATATCCAGCACTTTGAAGCAACTATTCAAAGTCCTGTCAGTAATATTTATACATCCAGTTTTTCTGTGTTCTGTAGCCTTAGGGTATAATTTTCTTTATCCTGCTTTACTCTCTGCTTAAAAGTATTCCAAAGAGTCACTTTCATGGATTAAATTTATTGTGGGAAAATCTTTGACAAAAGTTAAAGATCACATCACCCAGTTCTGATCACTGTCCACTCTCATTGCTCCAGCACACTTTATGGTGGCCATGTTGGTTGCCTCACCTTCATCTTCAGTAGAGAGGGAAGAAGGCCTGGGTCTAGCAGGAGAGCCGCCGCTCTCCGCAAAGGGAAAGGTGCCTCTCATTAATCACCCTGCAGGGTGACTTTAGCTCCCTGGCGAGCCCTCCAATGAGGAGGATTTGACGTGGGGATGCGGAGCCCCGCTCACCTGTGCCAATCACGCAGCGAGGTCAACCGGAAGGAAAGTCTTCAGGGCTGCCACAGCAAGGCTGTTTTGAGCTGTGGCAATGGAAGTGGGGAAGAGAGATACCTGGGGATCTGTAGCCAAAATAAAATTCATTCTGGGAACCAAAGACATTCTCACCAGGTGCTGGGGAGGCGTGGACTGAAACCAGCTGGAATTGGGACTGTAACTTGGTTGATGGACATGTGGACTGGGGAGAAGAATTTGATTTTTAATTTGGGTGGGGAAAACCTCGGGACCTTCAGAGTCAAGTTTTCACCAGATGTGCCAATATGACCTGCCTAATAAATCTGGATTTTGAGGAGCAGCTTGGCCTCAGAGTTTTGATTGCATTGGCTTTGTTATTTGGGACCCTGACAAGAGCTGCTTTATCAGGAGACAACTGGACTTTCTGGTTTTTCTTTGAAGAAGTTTCACTTCTCATCCAAGAAGCTTCTTTAGCTCGGACTGGATGGTGGGGGGTGGAAGGATTCCTAGTCTTTGCAGACAGCTGGTCATTTGCATTCTTTCAGAGGGTCTTGGGGCCACCTGGAGGTTGATCTGTGTCCTCAGGATCACATGAGTCGTGCAAATGGATGTGGAGCCTTCGTGGCCACAGGATGTTTTCTGTCCTGTGTCCCTTCACTGTTCAAGACCCTTGCAGGCTGTTGGAGATGACTGTTGTCCGCATTTCAAATTGAAGCAAAATGCTTCCTTTAATTTTTCTGGAAATCCATTGATATCATGACTTGGCTGACTGAGAATCTCTATAGGCAATTCGGGTTAGACTTCAAATTGCTAAGAAGGAATGGAGCACCAATAGGATACACCATGCTGGTTAGCTGATAGTTAGACTACCTGTACATAATTGGGTGTCATAGTATGGATGGCTTCTCCTAGTTTTTTCAGGTAGACATTAACCAGCAGTAGTGATTGGCTTGAGCCCTGAAGCACTGCAAATTGCAGGAGTCAAGATTTGGCCTTTTTCTGGGCTGGAACCAGGCATAGAGGTAGAAGAAGAATGATCATAATAAAGCTCCTTCCCTGTCCTGTCTCCAAAGCCTGGACATTGGAGGATATGGTCATTGTTATTGAAATCTAATGAGAGGTCTAGGAGGGACATAATCACTGTACTTCTTCTATCTCAAACCCTCCAAAAGTCCATGAGAATTGCAACGCCATTTTGGTGGTGTGCCCCAGCCAGACTGAGAAGGGCCCAGGTGTCTTCCTTCCAGCACAACCCTTTCTCTGATCACCAGTGCAAGTCAGAGCTGCAAGCAGAGGGTGAGTTGATATTCCAGGCTGCCAACCTTTCGTTGCCCTCTTCAGATGAACTGATCTTAATCTGCAGCAATGCCTTGAATTGCTCTGCCAGGAAAACCTCACGATTTCATTATGCATAGCAAACTGCTGTTGAAGGTATCAAGCCTGCTTGGTTGCTAACTGTCCAGAAGGGAGGGGAATTACTCTCCCAGCCCTCTCTTGAGCCTGGAAAAGAAATGAGGGTGGTTCTCGGGTTGCAACACCAATTGGGCCTGGAAATCCATTGCTAAGCAAGGATGAGGCACCAGTAAGAAATAGTGGGTTTGATAACTAAATTGGGAAATAAAAGAAAAGAAAATCCCAGAAGAGACAAGCTACACGTTTGCTGCTTTGCAGAGGCAGGTTCTCAGGAGTTATCCTACACACTCGTTCCACCCCCCAGGAAGAAGTGGCTGGAACTAAGGGAGGTGCACTTTCTCTTTTCCTATTTGCACGTCATTTGCGGCCCCCACGTCTCCCAAAGGATGCTTTATTTGATTTAGCTGCCGCTTCTCGCAAAGAAAGCTTCGGGCTCAGTTCTAGGGACAAGGAGTGCCCTCTGAAAGAAAAGGTTTGCGGATGGATCCTCCAGGACAAAAGCTACCGATGAGCTCGATGGGAGTCAAATAGGACTTGATGGCAGTGGTGGGATTCAAATTTTTTTACTACCGGTTCTGTGGGCGTGGCTTGGTGGGCATGGCAGGGGAAGGATACTGTAAAATCTCCAGTCAGAAGTGGTATTTGTCAGTTCTTTGAACTACTCAAAATTCTCACTACTGGTCAGAACCTGCTGAATTCCACCTCTGACTTGATGGCACTTAAGGAAGCACGGAATCCATGAGAACACCTTAGTGTAGAAAGAAGCATGTTCTTCCGCCTCATGTCGCTAGATGGCGT